TCTCTCGTCTTCCAGATATTTGTCTTCCCCTTAGACTATGTATGGTGGAAAGAGAAAAGTGAGAGAAGCTTAATTTTCTGTCCCTGTGTGAAATGGAAAGTTACCCAGATCCCACCGCTAATGTCCCTGTTCCCCTCACTTCACTATAAATTAGTGGTTATGAGTATGTCTTAGGCGCCAGGCAAGGGCTGGAGGTATGGCCTCAGCCACCTGTACTGATCATGGTTTTAGGTGCATATGTTATCTAAACTCGCTAACCCTCAGTTCCTTCTTCTACAGTATGAGGATATACTCTCTACCTTTCATGATTATTGTACTTATATAAGAAAATGTAAATAAAGTCCTTATTATAGCTTCTGGCATACAATAAATGCCCAACACTCAACATTTGGCAATTATTATTTTTATTTCTAAAACTAGCTTAAAAAAATTAATCTGTGTTCCCTGCCCCCTCCCCATAAAAAGAAAGAACAAAAGAAAAAGGTGTGTGTATGTGGGAATGCAATATTAAAACTCAGATGAGTCTCCATCCTCACCCAACAATCTGAGTGTCCCTGGACTGCCTCTGGGCCACCAGAACTCTGCAGGAGCCTCTGTGTGCTTAGTTGTTGGCAGAAATGGCTTTTTAACAAGTGCTGGAAAGAGATAAGACTTGGGACACTTGATTACCTGTGTATCCCAAGAGGAAGGGACCATCTTATTAGTGGTAAAAGCTTAAAGATACTTTCAGTATCTTTTAAAGATACAGTCCAGTCCTTATCAATATTTTCCAGCTACAGTTGTGTTCCAGCTAGTTCTATCAAGGTGAGATCTCTGTGGGACCTTGCTAACCAAACATCTACCTCATTTTATTTAAACATATGGTGCCATATCCCAACTCTGTACTGCTAGATGTTAGTACCTATTTTTTATGAAAATTATGGAAACGTAAAATAAGTTTGAAAAATCCCTTGTTAACCTGAGCACATTCACATATCACAAGTTTTGAGAAGTCAGTCTTACAAGAAAGAAACGTGCTTACCTTTTTGTGCAATAGCATATGCAGGACTAGTGGGCTTTGGAGAGTTTAGAAGGCTACCACTTGCAGCCACTAGAACAATGACCATGATCAGTACCCAACAGAAGATACATTGAAGGGACAGAGAAGTTAGAGGTTCTCTGGTTTGCATTTTCAGGCCCTGCTGATAACACTACTGCCCACATGAATGGGCTTGAATGTGGTTTACTGCCCGCACTGAGTTCTTGTGAACATGCGGAGCTGTTTCAATGTATGCGGAGAGAGGCAGGCATAAAACAGGTTGTGTGGTATCACAATCATTGAAAAAGATAAAAATATTTTCAGTCTGAATTGCTGACTGACTGTATCACATAAGAAGTGCAAATTTTTGATAACCCGTGTTTGTGTAAAGTGAGCATTTATAGCTCTAAGCCATTAGCACTACGGCAATTTTTAAAATATTTTTTTAAATATGTTTTTATTGATTTTTTAGAGAGAGAAGAAGGAAAAGAGAGACACATCAATGTGAGAGACAAACATCCATGGATCAGCTGCCTCCTGCGCGCCCCCTACTGGGGATCGAGTCCGCAACCCAGGCATGTGCCCTGACAGGGAATTGAATCGGGACCTCTCAGTCTGAGATGACTCTCAATCTGCTGAGCCACACAGGTCAGGAGCCACACGGGCCAGGCGCACTACAGCAATTTTTAAATTTAAATAAATTTTTTTTTCTCAAAATGTAACAAAAATGTTAATTATAGAATCTGGGTGGTTGGAGATATGGCTATTCATGGTAAAAGTCATTCAACTATTCTGTGTGTTTAAAATGTTTGTATTAAAATATTAGAAAAGATGTAACTGCATATAACTTGTTTATTCTGAAATACAATATAATTTAATATAGTTTTTATGTTCTTCATTTCAAATTGAAATCCCTCTTACTCAAATATTTTAAAAATCATTTGATCTAGGAAACAAGACTATAAATAGATGTTAATGATCCTGACTCAGCAACAGGAAGTCGTTTTGTATAAATTGTTGCAAAAATGTTTACAGGGCAGAGGTAGATTCTAATCATGTAATATACAGCACATTAATGCTAACTTTTTACAGGGCTGTTATTATGTCCTTTTCACAGATGGGTAAATTTAGATATAAAACCTGTCTAAGGCCGAGGAGCAAATCACTGACACAGCTGGGTTACCTACACCCCGTTTGTCAAACGCTCTACTCTTCATCGTGGAAATTCATCCATAAGTAATAAACTATAAGTCATTTAATCCAGACTTACCAATACAATATGTGTGTATAAGGAGAGGGAGTATACAATTACAGCGTGTGCAGATGAGATGCTAGCGCGAGCCCTTTGATCTGTGCTTGCCAAGGCGGCCTCATTCCAAGCTGATTACAGTGCCAGGATGCAGACCTGTTTCAACAAACAACGCTTCTCTTTTTTTTATTCTTATGCTTTTTCATTTTAATTTCAGCAACATCTACTTTTAGTCATAAATCTGTGAAATAATCTCATTTTAATATATTTAAATGCAAGGGATGGTAATATTTCTTAAAATGAAGATAGTAAACTTCAAATTCTTACTTAATGATAGATTTTCAACATCAAGAACTCATCAGTGAGAACTATAAAAGGCTTCTGCCCTGGCTGGTTTGGCTCAGTGGACCGGAGGTCCTGGGTTGGGTTCCCGCTAAGGGCATGTACCTCGGTTGCAGTTTGTCCCCAGCCCTGGTTGGGGTCATGTGGGTGGCAACAACTTGATGTGTCTCTCTCACATTGATATTTCTCTCTCTCTCTCTCTCTCTCTCTCACTCTCTCTCTCTCTCTTTCTCCCTCCCTCCCTCCCGCTCTATCTGAAGATAAATGCAAAAGTGTACTCTGGTGAGGATAAAAAAAATTTAAAATGCTTCTTACATCATCAATGTGTGTTATTGTCAGAACTCCAAGGGGATCATAAAACCCACTTGTACTATGGAACAAATCAGGTCTTGAATGCCAATAAGAACAACTTAATTTTGTATGTGTGTCTCTCTGTAAAATTTGAAAATTTTATATTTTACCAAAAGGCTAGAACATCTTGCTGTCATGTTTTGGCTACTGAGCATGCTGTACTGACACCATTTTGTCAAGGAATCTTCAAAATAACATCATTTGGGAAGACCTTTTAGAAAGACCTTTTTGAAGTCTTTGAGCCAAGATATTTATAAAATACCGTTATTTTAAATGAATACAAATGTGGACCCTCTGTATCAGAGTTGGAACTACACCCAGGAACAGTGATAGCCTTGGCATTTTGGGAATTGAATGACAGCAGGGTCTTTCTTCAGCTCCACTAAGCTCACAAAAAAATTTCTCGTTACATATGTATTTATTTATTTCTGGTAGATATTTTGGCCTATTTTTAAAATGTCACTTATTTTGTCTCCTGATTTAAAAAATTTATACATATTTATTTCAAATATATGGAAAATATAGAAGTATAAAAAGATAATAAAAACATAACCAGTAATAAGCATTATTAACATTTTGATATGTTTCTCTATCAAAATTTATTTCCGAGTTCCAATACTAACTTTTTCTTTACCCCAGTGCAAAAATATAAAATAAAACAGAATGAAACTTAATCTCTTTGGCTCCAGAATTTAGAGAACAAGAATTGGATGAAGAGGGATACCAATCTAGCCTTCTATATAACCCTAAGTATATTCAGGCAGCTAGAAAGAAATACATCAAAATCATAGTATTAAAAAAATAATGTATTTATTTTTACAAAACTTGCCTCATATTTTAGGCTAGTCAACAGAAAGTTTCAGCTTCTCCTGCTAACATCACCTTTTCCCACTTTCTTATAATTTCTGAAAGTGTGGCCTCATATATTTTTTTAATGTAATGTTCGTAAAATATATCTGACCAATGTCATAAAGTGCATCTTTGTAATTACAGCTCAGAAGAACATATTTACATATTTTTAATTTAAATATTAAATATTAGCATACTTAATGTGGTATTATTTCAAATTTAAACTCAGAACTATTTTTTGTGCATAATGTAAATTAGTAATAGGTGTTCAAGTATACAACATTTTTAATTGCTATAAACAAAAACAGTCACAACTGCTGAAGCTAACCTCTGTGTTAGCCAGTGAACTACTTGTTTGCTTTCTTTTGAAAATGTTGGGAGTTTCTTTTGAATAGCATCAATGAACAAGGAAGCCAGATCTGGTTTCCAAAAGAGGAGTCATTAAGGACAGAAATAGTCTCCTGAGCACAGGAATTCTGTAAGCACCTCAACAAGGACAAGCAGCCTCCAAGGGAAATGATAATGTCACTGCCATGCTCATTCAGGCCTGGCCACAGAACCATCACAGATAACTAAAAGCATACTAATCAGGGCAAAGTAAAATGTAACTGTTTGCTTAAAGAAAAATCACACTTCTTACATATGTAACATAGGTAACTCAACCCAAAATTTAATGTGTAGTATATAAATCTCAATAGTGAAAATTAAGCAGCAGAAACCAAAAGCTCTATAAGAATATTACTCTCAAGAGTAATTTAGTAGAATAATGTAAATCTGAAGGTCTTAGATTATACAAATTGAAATTAGGTAGTATTTCTTGAAGCTCTGAGAACTAGTACCTTTATAACAAAATATTACTTCACAGTTAGTTATATGTGTATTGGGCAGAGAGGAGGAAGAAGGTGTAAAAAGTGGGGAGCTGAAAAAAAATCTTTAGAAAGTGAAGAACACCACTGAAACATTCTTATTCATCCATCATCCAAAACACTGACCAACACATTTTTTTAAAAGGCTATCTCATTTAAGTAACATTCAGTATAATCTAAACCAAACAGCCTTAAATTGAAAGTAGTATGAGCTTAAACATATTTGCATTAGCAAAATGTTATATTCTACCACCTCTACCACTAGAGGCCTGGCATGAAAAACCAACAGATACAGGTATTTTTAAGAATATGAATTAGTTCCTACCTCTACATAGTCCTTGGCATGGCCCCAGTCTCGTTTGGCATCCAGATTTCCCAAACTGAAACATTCCAGTTGTCCAAGGTAAATCTTAGCTACTGACCGGCTAATTTTTCGAGTAACAAAATTAGCTCCTAAAAAGAGACAAAAGATGTATTATTAGTAGAATGTGTAGAACCAAACCCAACCTCAGCCTCTGGGCATTCCTTTCATTCTATTTTTCCCCTCTTTAAAATAATAAAAAAAAAAGAAGAAAAAAAAAGATCATTAACTGTCATTTAGACAAGTTAAGAAGCTCTAATTCTAAGTGTCATATCAGCTCTATTTTCATAACAAACATTTTTCTTTGCGGGACTTATGTCTTAACATTCTTAATATGTTGCTGCAATATGCGACCCAGGCATTGGGCCAAAGAAAAGCTATTGCAACGCCAGTTTTTAAACAGAAAATTCAAAAGGGTTGTATAAAGGGAAATGCCAGAATGGAAGACAGACATCTAAGACCACCCTGATTTTTTAAGAACATAAACATCATATATTCCTATTAATAAAGCTATTTTGGGGCTCGTGGGGAGAGGGAGAAGAAAGTAACTTAGCTCACAGGGAATATTCCTAGTTAAAAGAAACAAACAAGGAATGCAGTTGAGTTGTCAATAAATGGGGATCACTTTTATTTATAAACTTGCATAGCCATCCAATTATAAATTATGCTCCAAATCAAATCAAAATTTCTCTGTACTATACACATACTGCAATGCTGCCTCCCAGCTTCATTTCAGTGTTATCTATAGGACTGGGCTCCTGAATTCTTCATAAATATTTTGAAATCAATAAATAACAGTATCATAAATTTAAGAAAGTAATGAAATTGTTTAAATGTTCTCTCTGCTCTTCAATAAAAGGCATTATCTACTTTTAAACAGTCACAAAAAAGGACAAAATTAAAAGATAATGCTGAGACAATTTTATCCATGTCTCTATATCTAGGTGACATTTTCACAAAACACCAAGTAATGACACTTTCTCGAGGTAAGGACACACATATGAGCTAGTCAATACTGGCTTCACAGTTCAGATGAATTATTATAATAATTTATCACATTTCAATAACTTTAGCTTTGTTCTTTTGCAGATGAAGCAGGAAGGTGAATGTTATGATAAAAACTTTTGGCTTCTAGAAAAATTGGCAAAGGAATAAGGGGAATTTTTCTAAATAGGTTTTCTAAATTTTGGCAAGAATATGGCCCAATGCAAGTTCAAACCTATACTAGATTCACTTACTACACAAACTTGGTATATACATTTAAACCAATGCCTTGTCATTAAAAATGATAGGAAGAGATCAAAAAACGTATATGGATATATGCATAATCTATGGACACAGACAATAGTGTGGTAAAGGCCTAGCGGGGGCAGGGGCAGGGTGGATGGAGGCAAAGGGGGAGAAAATGGGGGACATCTGTAATACAGTCAACATTTAAAAATAATGACAATGGGACTTTCATGGAAATCCACATTTTCAGTTTCTCTTAGCAGTCCACAGAGTACCTTAAGAAATCCAAAGTTTCAACTTCCAACAGCAGTTTATAAAACATACAGAGTTCATTCAAAAATGAGCCTTTCAAAATGAAGAAATATTTATTAGGTGTAATCCTTCTCAATCTATGACTGATTAGCAATATTTATTTTCTATTGATCAGTAACAATTAAATTTATAACTAAATGCAAGTTTCCTTATGTCTTTTTATTTTAATGGCAGGACTATGCTATCAGCCCAAAGTACACTAGATAAATGTGTGTTAAATCATTAGAGCAAGTTTCCAACACAAACCAGTTCAGATTATTCTATTTACCAGTAAACTAACGTTTAAGAGTCAAATGGAAGCATGAGAAGTTCAAACAATCTACTTAGGCCCTAACCTCATGATTCATTCTTTCAACCAGTGTTAGCAGAGCACCTACCAAACTCTGAGCACCAGGCTGGGGGGTCTGGGAGTGAAGCAGCAGCCCCTCTCAAGTAGCACAGAGAGCGTGAGAGAGACAAATAAACTCGTGCTGTCAGAAACGTAGCAGCAGCTTTGTGAGGACAGAGACAGTCAGGGCCTGTGACCCTGATGCTGTGTGTGGTGAGGATCCACCTATCAGAAAAGGGCTTGAAATGAGTGTCCTGGTGAGGTCGGTCATAAAGGGATTAAATTGTGAGAAAGGGACAGTGAACAGCACATGCAAGCAAGGGAGGACCTTTCAGCAGGCCTCTCTCCTTCAGCTCTTCCTCAGTTTCGCACTGACCACAGCCATGACATCTCTGACGATGGCCGCTGCTTTTAGCACTGCACTAACCTCTTTTGATGCAGAAACTCATTTAATTTTCAGGGCAACCCACAGCTAAGAATGATTATTACCCCCACTTTTAGATGAAGAAGCTGAGATCCAGAGAAGCTATGCAGAGTGGCCATTCTAAAACAGGGTTCAAATCAGTGTCTATGTGACTACACGCCCGGGCTCTCACCTTACCAGGACTTAGAATGGCATGCTGGGAGTTATGGAGCCTTTCTTACCTAGGTCTAAAAGTTATCTTGGATAACTAGTCAGATTCACTTGAAATTTCTAGTTCTTTAATTTTAATTTTTAATGTTATTCTTTTTTTTATTATTATTATTGATTCTTTAGAGAGAGAAGAAGGAAGAGAGAGAAAGAGATAGAAATATTGATGAGAGAGAACATCGATTAGAAGCCTTCTGCATGTCCCCCACTAGGGATCAGGCCCACAACCTGGACATGTGCCCTGACCAGGAATCGAACCGTTGACCTCTTGGTGCACGGGTCAACGCTCAAACACTGAGCCACATCAGCCGGGCATGTGTGGTCTTTTGTAACTGGCTTCTCTCACAAAATATTTTCAAGGTTCAGCTATATTACAACATTAATAAGCACCTCATTCCTTCTTTGTAGCTGAATAATATTCTATTATGTGGATATAACACATTTCATTTATTCATTCATGAGTAGATGGACATTTGGGTTCTTCCCATTTTTTGGCTATTGTGAATAATGCTGCTATAAACATTCATGCACAAGTCTCTGTTTGGATACTATGTCTTCATTTCTGTTGGGTATGTATCTACAGATGGAATTGTGTGAAATCTATAGATCAACATGGGGAATACTGCTGCTTTAGCAATATTATATCTTCCACTTCATGAACACGGGACATCTTTCCATTTATTTATGTCTTTTAAATTTTCTTTCAGCAATGTTTAGTAGTTAGTTTCCAGGGAGTTAGTTTTGCACTTCTTTAGTTAAAGTTGTTCCTAAGTACTATTCTCTTCGATCTTAAAATGTAATTTTTCCTAATTTCATTTTCAATTAATTTTTTGAATTATTATTATCATGTGTTTTACTAGTTAATTCTTAGGAGAGGCTTAAAATGATTTTTAAAAACTTTGCTCTCTTCATTTTTACTCCTTATCATATAAGAATACTGATTTTAGAAAACTATATAAAATTATTATACATGAGGGCTAAGACCTTAAAGGTCATTTATCCAACTATCCCAAATGTGCAGGTGCAGAAAGACAGGCAAAGCAATAGTCAGGACAAGGAGACAAGTCTGCCCTTGGCGTGCCTACCTGGGGCTGTTTCCATTGACCCACAGTGCCATGCAGGGGGTACCCTCCTTGGATTACATTACTCAAGTGATTGTGCATTATAACACATGTGGGTAATGGAACTCCCATAATTATTATAAATACATGCTTGGCTTCTAAGAGCCTTAAACTAGAAGACCTTAGCTAGGAAGAAGACCAAGAAATGAAAAGCTAGCCAATGAACTGACCGAAGGCCAGCTGCTAGTTACTAGCACAAACCATTTAATAAGTTATATTTCCTCTGTAAACAACCATTATAATAATATTTACCACATCAAATTCAAAGGTACACTAATGTAGATGAAACTACATCGTAGAACATAAATCACTACATGTCTTTGTTGGTAAAATAAGAATAATAACAATACTTACCATGTTGGTTTGCTATTTAAGTGAGAACATGTAAGTAATATGATTAGAAAGTCCTCAATAAATGTTAGCTATTATTATTATCATCATTATTATTATATTACAATGTTAATGACATCTATTATAAAGCCTCAATGAAAAGTTTGGATTTCTTAGTTCTTTTACGTCTGAGTGTCTTAATTCTCTGATTTTAAATTTCTGAGATTGAGAATAGACCTAAACAAACAGGCAAAGGTAGGCACGCAGACACACACACTGTAGGTTACTTTTCAATGTAAACTTACTAACCTAGGAAAAACAGAGTACCTACGTAAATGTATATTCATAAGAAATAAATCAATTAAGAAGAGTTTTAGTCCAAATATTAGTTCTAAGATTGAGATCATGAGTTTTGGTAGTGCCAACAGAATGAAAAAAAAAACAACAATTTGTTTCAGCAACATAGCAAATAAGAAAAAGGGCCACATTAAAAACACCAAGATATGCCGGATAAAATGTACTTATGATATATTTAAATTCAAAGCTGAGTCTCCCAGAAGTGCCCAGGTGAAGGGGGACCAGAGCACAGGTTAGGGGCAGGCACTGAGGGCCTGTGCTGAGCAGAACGAAGGCCACCTCGGGGCCTGAACACAGGCTTCGGCTTCAATATCCAATCTGAGGCAAAGGAGAAGGTCTTTCAGACAGAAAGACCTTGGAAACAGGGTTACACACCATATGAACCACTGATCATTTTGTTTCTGTTATCAGTACTGTTATCTTAAGCAAGTGTTTTAACTTTTTAGTTACCTTATTTATAAGACAGGATAATAATCCGTACTAAGGATCAAATGAGATACAATTCAAAGGCTGCAGAACCCTATATCAATGTAAAGCACCCCTGTTAGTTATAAATGTTTACTGACTGGATATTTTTTACTGTGATACATCTTTTAAAATAGTAAGGCTTTTTTCTTCTGCATTTCTCTTTACATGATCATCTCTATAGTTAGCCCAAGGATGGAAAAAGATTAGAAGAGTTAAATGAGATAGTAAAAAAAAAAAAAAGTTAATATTTATCCCTATAATTCAAAACAGGCTGCAAAAAGACAGTGAATTTGAAAGCAAGGCTTCATGAAAAGT